ACAGCTCGCTTTGTAAAGTATGTTTTAACATATACTCCTAAAATAGATGACTGAAGACGAACCTTTATTAGTATAAACATATTAATGGTCTAYCGCTCATACTRCGCTGCGATTGGCTACTCTACTAATGGTCTAATTTGTGATAGACCACTCGCGGGTAAATCAAAATGGCGGCATCTCATTAATAAATTATTTTAAGGATATTTCAATTTGTTTTCATTATTTGACCGATTAATATGTTTATACTAATTAACAATTAGACCTCAAGGTCGAGTGGACTACGAGCTAATAGCCCATTCGGCCTCGCGGACTCGGCCTCATGGGCTATTAGCTCGTAGTCCACTCGACCTCGAGGTCTAATTGTTAAATAGACACGTCTAYGAAAACGCCAKTACACTCCTKTATAATAAGGACACTTCTAGTAATGGGCTCCTGGTATCCACTTTACCTTTTCTCCMACGAAGTARCYCTTTCSYTCTTTATTCATTTTCAGCAAGYTTTCCATTTTAGAAAAAAAGTCTGGTAGATGCGTTTTTTCATACTCGTCCTTCAAGGATTGCTGTCAATAGTAAATGAGATAAAGAAGTCGATTGAAGAGTGTGATAGAAGAAAAAGAAAAAAGGAGAAATAAGAAAGGAGACAAGAAGACATTGAGAGTAATGTAAGTAGAAGATTATTAACGAACATGCTTACAAAACATGCAGAAGAAAAGAATGACGGAGAGAAGGAATAGCAAAGACTAGCGAATAGAAAAAAAAAAACGGGTAATAAAGATAAACGATTATATGTCAAAAAGAGACCATCTGAAATTTTACCTTAAGTTTCTCATCTTTCTCGTAATAATACTTGATGCGCTTGGCTGCGAGGTCGTTTTCAGTATCAACGATCATGTCACACTTAGCAATTTGGAGGCTTTCAGAAGGACAAAGACCTGGCACAAACGAAAAGACACACGGTCACTGAGCTAAGCTCACTCTTTCGATAGTTTTCTATCTTTTGGAAGTTTTAATCATTGATCTATCCGCCTTTCGTTTAATGACCACTCTATTAAGCCGTATTTAACTTGTTCGTGCTTTAGATTTTTTCACAATCCATCCATCCATCCATCCATCCAACCATCCATCCATCCATCCATCCGAGCATTCATTTTTAGATCATTACATAACTTTGAAATCAACAGTAGTTTATTTTCACACGTAAAGCGCAATGCAGTGCAGTTATAATTAGCCGCGGAGAAACCGCAGACCGCCAATATCGCCGGCTGATAAGTTAGGTTAGATTGACTAACCAGTTTCCCTTGCAGTGTATCTGAAAATAGCCATGGACTGTGAGAACTTCTCCCCATCAACAACCATCATTGGAAGCTGCCCCAAAGGTGTCGAGCCGTCTTCTACGAAAAAAAATGAAAACCATTATAATTGTTGATTACTGCAATGTCATTGCCCATAAAGAGCTTAGAGGGTGACAAAGTTTACCCAAAAGAGTGTCACACTAGTTTTAGTAACGCAACGCTTCTGTCACTACAAAGGCCTTCATTTCTTCATACATTGCGAAAGGGTACGAAGACCACGTTAATAAATATGCCTTAATAATGCCAAATTATATTCAAGTAAAGTAAGAAATG